TGAATATTTAAAAGGTTTTTAATAGTGATAGCTTTCGTTGTCTAATACAGGTTGTAATTTTAAATATTGTTAAATCTTCCTCTTCATTTTTGATTGTTAAATTAAAGTCAAAATTACTAATTTAATAGTAATATAAAAATACCGCTTTACCGGTTATACTTACTTTAAAAGTCTTTTCCCACATTTTACCAAAATTTCGAAATTTCATTGACACATTTTCAATTTGCTCTTTGCAGTACATATTTTAAATTTTTCATAAATTCCTATTCAGTCACTGCGCAGCGCTCGCCTTTTGCAACAAGCATCAGCTCGTGCTGTGCGGCACCAAGCCAATCAAGCTAATCCGAATTTTCGAATACAATTTACTCAATTTAATATCTTCGGTGCATGCGACACAAATCACCAGCCGCGATGGCAAGTTGTTTACCACTTGTCTACGAGAGAATATTGGTTGCAACGCGGCATAAAAAATCAACGTTATTACAAGCGAAAAACTCAAACTATCAAAAAAAAAGTATTAAATTTGCTATGCTATTTAGGTATAGACTAATATGTATAAGTTAAAGTGTCGCTTCAGTTGTCGAAGATCCCAAATTCCACACCGATAATGATCGCAAATTGTCAACAAATTTTCAATAATAAAATCAAACTGTACTCTGTTGTTCACGCAGCATAATATTTATGTAGGTATGTAAGTTCGTTTGTTTGTATTTGTAAAACTATCTGACTCATCTCCTCAATGCAGTTGGCAGCTTGCTTGCTACGCTGCGGAATTTTTGTGACTTCAGCGCATCGATCCGGTGCGGTTGGCAGTTTATTTAATGTGTGTGGGAGTGTTTTATTAATTGCTGATGCCACACATTTTTCGCGATTACAAGTGCTGGTAGACATGAATTGAATCGTGCCCTTTGCACGATTAAGTAGCCATAAATATTAATATTTTTTATGACACTTGACAAGAGCTTTCATTTAAGTTTTAGAATATTTTAACATTGGAGTATTTATACATATAGATGAGGGCTTGTAAGCGTAATTACTATCGATTGTATACATAAATAATAAAGAAATAAAATATATAATTTTTAGTCTTATATTGGTGAGAATTTATTTTATGTCTTAATTATTTGCTAGGAGCCCTTTTCTTAATTACATTTTAGAAATCATTGTCTTTATTTTTGCATAATATTGGGAAAAGCTGACAACAAGCTGTTCTCCGTCGAAATAAAATTTAGATCCAAACTTGATTTAACAAAAAATAATTGTTATTACTCATCACAAAGAATTTGCTGATCGCGGTTTGCTAACTATTCGAAACAGAAGACTTAAGAGACAAACCTGTTGCGTTTAAAATAAACTAACCCGCAAGCAAGTAAGCGCTAAGCTAGTTGTAATGTCTTAGCCTACTTTTAGGCTTGTTTTATCGATCGATGTGTCATGCGAGAAATTGCACAATACAAAGCAAATAAAAATATACGGAACGGAAACTTAAAAGACTGATATTTGAATACATGCAAAAGAACCTCGAGATAAACTTGAATAAATCTCCTATTTTTTAAGTTCTGACAATACTATACTTGTTTTATATACGTTATTAAAATCACAATATTTTCTTACTAACTAACACTAACCGAGGGAAATATCCGTGATGAACTGAACATATAGATCAATATATTTTGATTTTCACATGCTTGGGTACATATTTTGATATATTGTATATACGTACGTATGAGCCCTGTTGTTCAAAATATCGATTTTGCAAATCTAACAAGAAAGGAGGAGGAGGAAATATATACGGCGGAACTTATTTTTCAATTTCTAACACAACGATTAAGATAAAAATTAAGACACATTAAGCATTTCAGTCCTTTAATATGTGACAACGTTAGGAACGATGACGCAAATTTTCAAAGTGGTGGTTGAGGAAGGATATTATTTTAACTACAGTTTTAAAAATTTTCCGAAGATTAGTGTGGAAAAGTTGAAAGTTGGAATATCTAATGGTCCTCAAATACGACAGTTAATCAATTATATATGACTATTCTGGAAATTAAAGCTTGGAAAAGTTTTTTGGTAACCATAAGGTATCAAATGATGAAGAAATTGTGAAAAATATGCTGATCAACTTTCAGACTCTAACAGCAAACATGAGTATTAAGTTAGGCTATCCACAATTATCTGGATTCGTTTTAAGATAACTTAGGATATCATAGTGAGAAACAGTGAGAGCAGTTCCACCACAATCTAAAAGTGGTGGAAAATGTATCAAAGTTGTGCGGATCCTCACGGGATGGCAGATTGCCGCTGGTCCTTAAAAGAAGATATAGAAATGCTCTTTAAAGAAGTTTCACTGAAGTTAAATTTATGTTCTCGACATTTTTCCCAATGTTTACTATGATGTATCCTAATTTTTTAAAACAAAACTGACTTTGAGTTTTTATGTAAAATGGAAATAAAGATTTAAAATTTATGAGAGCAAATGTTACGAAATCATTGATAGTTTCATGAAGCGTGGACAAAAATGGATTCTAAGCCGTTATTATATCTAGAACAACAAAACCACTACATAGCATGTGCAATATACTGCAAGAGGATACATATAAAAAATATATGTACATATATATAATCCCACTAAGAGCTATAATCATTATTTTTTTCAATATAAAAATATATTTTAATACTTTAAAAAAAAACATATCAATTAAGTTATAATTTAGTTCGGATGGTACATAAGGTATAGACAGACCATATTATTAAAATGTTTTTTGTAACTTTGAATCACATACAAACAAGTAGAATCTCAGTTCCACATTTAAACTATTTTTGATATGGTAATATTTTTCGGAATATTTTTTACAATAAGAAATATTGCTTATTTTTAAATATTTCGAAACTGTCGTCCCAAATATTTTCCAAAAACTTTCTAGAACAAAAAAGTTTTGCTTAAGCACTAACTGGATGTGACGAGGTTTTTAGAATTCCAAAATCATCAACATGTAAACAAGAAAGACTTGAGAAAAAATAAAAAAATATATCTGACATTGGCGATTAAAAAATTTTTTTTTAAGAAAAATGGTTTATGTTTTATGCTCTATAACCAGCACCTTACATATACGCATGTAAAATTGAATCATGGTAATTTAAGGAAATTTTTTCTCAAATACAATATGTTGTAATGCTTACATTGCAATACTAAATGTATTGATAGAATTTGTTTAGTTCAATTACTCAGATCTAAGTAAAAAGGAATTTTTAATTAATCTCAAATTCCTGTTTTCTGCTTCTCAAAACAAAAACAACAATCTCTCTTAAAGTTCTTCTTATAAGAAGAATAATTAAAATATTGAGCGAAACGAGTATTAAACTAAGCGAAAAAAAAATTATTTTCGCTATGTTGATATTCTGCATATTGCGAGCGTGGCACTAAACAATATGACAATACTGTTATCTATTTTAATATTTTACCATTTACCCACAGAACTCACTTTAAAACGCCTGAGTACCAGATAATCGACTGCAAGCTAACCATTAACATTTTTCTTAACATCTCTCATTGAAGATCAGCACATCCAAGCGATTAGCAAACACCCGACCCATATAAAAATTTAGTTTTACCCAAGGAAACCCGGTTATTCAACAACCTTGACCTCAAAACAAAATTTGATTAGTAAACACTCGTAATTTAAATGCTCTTCAATTCCACATTTTGTTTATTTACAGCAATGCCAATAACAACAGCAACACATCCAAAGCATTGCACTTCAGCTTTGAATTTGCATCAAATTTGCATAACTGCAAAATTCCTGAAGAAGAATAAATCAACAAAAATCTCGTGTGCGACCTACACAGTGAACGAACGCGTTCCAATTGAAAATATTGCAAAATGATTTGAGACCATGAAATTTATGTGCAACACGCTGCCACAGCTGCCACATAAATTCCCACCCAACGAGGTGCAAGTGCAATAAACAAAAAAAAACATACGGAGAAGAAATAAACGCTAATGACTGGCGCTTTAGCAGCTAACTCAGTATTTAAAGCCAAACAGCAAAGAAAAAAAAAAAAACAACAATAACAACTGTCATAAAAACAAACAAACGAAACTCCGATTTAATCTCAATGGCGCTTGGGCAGCAAGCGAAGACCATTTGTCCCTCGACCAGCGTTCAATAAAAAGCCAATAAATTCTGTAGCAAACGTTGAAAAACCAACAACAACAATTATACAATATAATAGTAAGTGAATTCAGTTGAAATTGTATTAAACTGCGCTTAGCTGCTCTGGCGCGAGCAGGTTGTTAACATGCTTATGTTTGCATTGCAGCCAACGAGTCAACCGACAAGCGGAAAAAGTGCACAAAACGGTAGCACAAAGAGCTAGAAATTAATTACCCGTCTATAAGTAGCGCATGCGCCAAGCACAACAATACAGAAAACCAAACAACAATGACAGCAGCGCCGTAAAACAAACACAGCTCCAGTCGCTTCAGTCGTTAAGCAGCCGCTAAGCGTCTTCGTAGATACAGCTACCGCGATAAGCCGCAGCAGTTACACTATCGCAAATGCACACGAGCTAATCTACAAGAAAATTCTTGCAATTTCTGACTCTAATGCACGCTTGTTGTTGTTCTTATTGTTACATCGATTTATGTATGCTTGTTAGCCCAGCTTTTGAACAGGAAGCGCAAATGCTTTTGCAGAAGTAACATCGACACCTCCTACTCCACCTGCTGGGCAGCGCAACCCGTCAGCCGTTGACCAGCCTGACCTGCAGCACAGCCAAAGGTCTAGCATTGGCAGATAGCGCGCTTGTGGCAGCTCAGGGCACATGAGACGCCTACTGTCTAACCTACAGCTCATGCTTAGGGCGGCAAACCTACTCAGCTCGTAGGCATAAATCAGCTGCACCGCTAAAGTGAACATGAAGCCCCCCGAGAATCCCTCACTATGTTCTAGTGCGCGCTGAAATGACTTTCCACTGAACTCGCACGCGTAGGTGTTTCTATAAATACAAAGCGTTTTAGTGGCTGGAAATTAGTTGCAGCGCGGCCTTTATGGGATTACCTGTGTGCTAAGCCTCTACAAACTCCAATATATACAAATCATTAGCCTCTTATCGTCATTATCGCCGTTGTTTACGTGAAAAGTGTAGCGAAAGCGTCGGTAAAAATTCTCACAACAAATAAAGTTTGCTGGAAGGCCTGGAAACTATTTTCATTCGCGACAATGTTTAAGAAATCGAAAGCTGCTTCGACGCAATACAATCGCTGATCGCGGATGGGAAATTAATTGTCGCATTGTGTTTTCAGTTGACAATCGAAATCTATTAACAATCTTACGGCTTTTTTTTTATAAATACAACGAGTGTATGGAAAAATAGTTCCGGTGTGGTGACAAACGTTTCATTTCCAATGGATAAATCGAATTTCCGGGTAAATATAATATATAGAATCAAATAATTGTTAAGTAGTATGATCTCTCAATACATTACATAAAACACAATGGTTTAAATTAGAGATGTAAATATAGTTTAAAACACAGAAGCTTACGGTGTCTGTCTGTCTGTCTGCTGCTTAAAGCATTGTGAGTTTTTTAACTTATTGCTCCTGGACGGAATAAAAATAGTCCTCAACGGGAACTGCGTGAAGTTACAAAGTTACTGAAAGTGCTATAGTTCTGTCTCTGAATAAGTTCGATGATCATACGATGAAAAGGAATATTTGAAAGATATGGTATCATTCATTATTGAGACAATATATGAATCCCAATTATGAACTAAACTATCTTACCGAAATTTTCTCTGCTATTATTAGAAAATATACTAAATCAAATAAATCAATAACTACGCCAAACTCCCAGTTTTCCTTTGGATTTCTAAGATTTCAATAAATCTCTTCAATACCACTAAAAATGTCAAATTAAGTCAAGACAAATAGCCATCTCACAAATTACTTACTCATTCTTAACAAAATATGGTATCATTCCTAAGTAATCAGATATGAAAATTGGCAAAAGCCCTAAATAAGGTAACAATCTTATAAAAACCCTCAAAACTCAAATACTCAATAAATGTATCGATTTTGATTTGCCGATTCACTCAGCTTTACAATACCTAGTTTTTTATTATCTTCATAAATCAAGTGCGTTCATATTAACTTTTTATTCATAATAAAAATGTAATCAGGTAATTTGGTTACTTTTTAATATAATTAAGTTTTCTCGATGACTTCTTAAATTTAATTGAGTTATTAACTAGTTAAGTGAGGTTCAAACTTGTTTATTCGTAAAGGAAGGTTGTAAAAAAATATATTGCCAAAAATATTGGTTTGATCTGTAAATTTTAGCTAATTTAGAGTCATAAACCAAAGAGGTAGAGAAATTTCACTCACTCCATTAAGCTGAGAATTACTGATGCGGTATGAAAGGGGGATAAAAACACAAGATAGGGTAAAGGACATTTCAAAATTTCTGTAGTTAAATGATATTGCAGCTACAGCTTTTAATCCAAATTTGGAAATTTTGGATTTGGTTTGCGTCCCTCACCAACTAATTGCGTTACGAGGAATAATATTTTATTCAAAACCCAAGCGTATTGTGAATTTTAAGATAGAATTACTGACTTCATTCAATGCTTTGGAGATATCAGTGGACATTGAAAAAATTGCAAATACAACTTTAAAAGTTCAGAGCCTAAATTTGGAGGTAGATTTTTGAGAGATTTACTTTGTATCCTAGCATAAATTCAAGGTGATTAATTTAAATAATTTGCTTGTACGCAAGATTAAACATTTTTTTAATCTCAGATGGATAGGACTCTTCACAAGTCAAAAATAAAGCAAAAAAATATATTTATTAAAGTATTCAATGAAAAACAATTTCAATGTTTCCGCTATGAAACTATTTGTATTTTCTGGTTACAAGAGAAAGTTAAGATTGCTTTTGTTTTCTGTAAAATATTGCATACTATATGACATCCATTTAATTAATAATTATCGATATTGAATCGGCAGCCTACCTTTGAATATTAATGGTTAATTATCAGACTGTCTGTCTGTGCAAGCGTTAAGAGATTGAGTAAAAATTAAGATACCTTGATAAAGCTTGATACAGTTGTTCCTTGTTATCCGAAGGAAGTTGGTAATGCTATAACTAACTGAAAAAAAAATGAAAGCCGCCCTCTTCCCATATAACAGTTATGCTTAAAACTATTACGATTACTTACTAAATAAATACTTCAGAAGTATTAAATTTTGTATGCTATATGACACGAAATGGCCTCAGAGGAGCCGGTGTCCAAACTAGACAATGGGCGTGACACCGCCCACCTCACTGAACTTGCTACACCAATTTTTTTTTCAAATTTGGTACATACCATTAACCTGACATTTTTATCTTACAACGAAAAAATGGGCGAATTCGAACTACAACCACGCCTACTTCTTATATATAACAATTTTTAATTCCTTCTGAATCTTTCATTCTCAAGTATATAATTCAAGCACCAGTATCCGAATAAAACGTTGCAGAAACAGTGCTTTTAAGGTATCATCACCATCTTCATCTCGTCTAAAATTGTCTAAATCAGGCCAACACTTCTCCTAGCCTCCATATACCTAATATATCCGATTTTCCAGTCAATGTTAAACAGTTTATTGATGTCAATATGTGCGATATTTTAATGGAATTAAATCTTTTCTTAACCACTAGCTAAATGTGAAGGAAATCGGCCAAAACCCCAACCCCTTATATGATATTAATGTAGAATAGTATACATAATAAATAGTTTTAGTTAAATATAATAGATGTGATCCATTCACAGTTAAATTCTTTCCCAACATTTTTAATAAAAAGTTTTGTCAACACCTGCAGGTATTTCCCCGACTTTCATCTTTGCTTACTTATAAAATGTTCGTTTCACACGAACTTAGCCATTGTTTACTTGTTTTTATTCAAATCCGGTTATTATTTATTGATATAAATAAATTTGATGCTTCGATATTAGTGGTTCCACCTCAAATATAGATATTATAACACTTAGGATTCCTTTTTTTTTTTTTGTTGGTAGTATCTCCTGGAAGGTTCAATCAATGCACATAGTAACTTTCGATAAAGTTTTTAAAATAAATCGCCTTTAAGATAAATAAGAATACTTTAGGTTCATGCCACACATTCGGCTGATCCAAAATTATATTGAAATATTTCATAGACATTAAGCTGCATATCTTTTAGTATTTACTTATACATACAACAACTAAACCAGACTAAACAAACCTTTCCATATTAACTCAGTATAATTGCAATATTTAAAACTTTTCCATGCCCACATACCAATATGTTTAGTATTGACCTTCCCTTTATTTTGAACTTGTCAACAAATTTTTCTAGCTTTTAGCCGGCTTAGTATTATCGCTTAGCTTGTCGCAGCACACTTGTCGCTGTCAACAGAACACAATCTTCAATCAATCACCGTTTCAGCGACAACAGCAGACTCAATTACGACAACAATTACAGCAACAGCAGCAACAACAACGCCAGCAGCAGCAAGGCTTTCCGAATGCACTTAACACGTTACAGCCGCTTGGCACCACTTTGGGGTCAATTCCGCCCATCTCACCACTCGGCAGCTTAGTGCCGCAGGTGAATAACCTGTTGATATTTCATATACTTAATCATATATGTATACTTTAGTAATTATTTCAAGAAATGCTAACCATTATTTACTTGAATTTTTTTCAAGAATTCCTTTCGCATATACAATCGTCTGGATCAGCCGAACTATGTGCCGATCACAGCCTATCAAAACGAGCTCAACTACGACGGCAGCTTCTCGTACGGTTACGCCTCCGCAGATGGCACTACCGCGCAGGCGCAGGGGTATGTTAAAAATTTGGGCCTAGGCGAAGATGTCGAAGCTCAGGTGGTCCAAGGTTCATATTCGTATACTTCACCGGAGGGCACACCCATTACCGTACGCTACATTGCCGATGAGAACGGTAAGCTGGCGCTTAAATTATTTAATTTACTTTCAAACTCATTCAATCACTTTGAACCCACTCAAGGTTTTCGCGCTGAGGGAGCCCATATACCAACGCCTCCCCCCATACCCGATGCAATAGCCAAATCACTGCAATACATCGCGAGCGTGCCACCCTATCAGCAGGGGGGAAATCCTAATTTAAATCCTTATCAAACACCGTTTCGACAATTTGCTGGCGGCCAGCAGCAACGACCCGGCCAACAACAACAATTGACACCATTTCAACTGCAACAACAGCGCGCTTATCAGCAACAACTAGCAGGTCAGCTGCAGCCTCCCTTCGCACAGTTTTCAGGCGGTCAACAGCAGCCACAAGCGAATGCCTTCTTTGGCGGCGGCATCGGCGCTGGTGTGGGCGGTGCCGGCCAGTTTCCAGGTCAGTTTGGCGACCTGAGTGGTCAAAACTTCACGCAGCAACCGCAAAATATACAACACGAACAGCAACAGCAAGCGTTGCAACAGCAACAACAGCAGAAACATCAACAACAACAGCAGCAGCAACAACAACAACAACAGCAACAGCAATTGGCAACACAAGAGTTGCGCTCAAGGCCCAATCAGCTGGTAAACCCTTTCGGCTACAATCAATATCGCCGCTACAAAAAAGCCGCTCCAACGAAGAATTAAACAACAACACCAACAACTACTCATACGTAAAGAATTACTAAAGGGTTTATATATATTATTTAATTTTTAATTTAATAATTAATTTTTTTACTCGGTTGCTGCTTAATTTATTTCGCTAAGCGTTTTAGCTTTAATTCAAATAAAGTTCTTTTGTGTGTGGTTTATATTTAATTATGTAACTTTTATATAATGTATTACTACTATTGATGAAATCGAATGAAATAGTCATTTTTAGTAATTCAAATACATGAAATACATGTGCATGGAAAATCCAAATTACAGGCTTTTATTTTACTTAAATCTGTTTTAAGCTATTGCATATTCTATCGCGGGGACTGACTCAAGAAATTCCGTAACGGAAATAAACCTAACACGCATAATGTTTGTATATCTGTCTACATGCAACATATTTATTTATGTATGAGCATGCATAGATATCGACGCATATTTTGCGAGCCATGGAAAAGTATTTTCGAATTGCGGGGTTTGCGGGGTTGAGACTTTTCCCTTCCAAAAGAAACATCAGAAAGTTGTTCACTTTATAATTTTTAGATTTTGCCATTGTCGTTAAAAGACACTTGTAGGCAAACGCATGTTCAACTTCGCTGATAAAAATTTAATTTTAAAATAAATAATGATCCACAAGAATCCACAAAAAAATATGGGATCATCATTGACACGGTATTTTCCAGATATTATATTTAGAGGATATCAAGTCTCAAACTTATGTTTCTTATTTCAGTTACAATTAACCTATAATTTCAATTCCTAAATAACTTACATGTATTGTAAGATAATAAAAATATTTTAAACAATATTAACTTCTCATTTATTCAATAAAAGGAAAAAAAATGTTTTCTTATCGATCACCACGCTCAAAAAGTGTAACTTGTATTAATATCAAAGAAAAAAACATACTACATTAAAAAAAATAATAATAATTATAATTGCAAAAGTTGATAAAAAATGCTATGCAAAAGCTTTACCGCGGCAGTCCCTGAGTGCTACACGTATTTTTTTTTTGTACCCTCAACAGGTTATATTAAGGTTGCCCCGAAGCTTGTAACACTCGGAAGGGAACGTTTGAGATCTTACAATATATATGGTACATATATGTGATCAGCGTAACGAGCTGAGTAAATTTTGCCGTGTCCAGACAGGCAGTCTGTATATACGCGAACTACACGTCCTTCGTTTGTCGGACCGTCGATATCGGACCACCATAGCATTCAAAAGTTCTCATACAAACTGGCCGATTAAAATCCGGTTCTTAAATGGAAAACTTTTTTTATTTAATGAGATATCTTCATTTAATTTGTCACATATTATTTTTTAAAGTGACTCATTAAAATAAAGAGAAAGATGTTTTTTCTGATTAAGTATCCTTAATTCGACTTGAAGATTGTGTATATCACCTGGGGGTGATTATAGTTTCGGTGAAGCCGAAGTTAACGGGTTTTCTTGTTTTTTCAATAAACAGTTATAATTCTTCCAGCTCATCTTAATGATTATATTTATTACTTAAATATTACATATTGAATAGATTCAATGATTATATTTGTGACCTAATAAAAATTCTAAAAATATTCTTCAAGTTAACTAAAAAGTCTTCTATTCGATTAATTTAATGCTATTTTTTCAACTCTACTATACATATTGTTATTGGAATAAAAGCTATTGACAAATACCTCAAAGTAAAGTCAACTTCGATATTTCGAATCAGATTTATTTTTATACTCTCGCAACCTGTTGCTACAGAGTATAATAGTTTTGTTCACCTAACGGTTGTTTGTATCACCTAAAACTAATCGAGTTAGATATAGGGTTATATATATATAAATGATCAGGATGAAGAGACGAGTTGAAATCCGGGACTGTCTGTCCGTCTGTCCGTCCGTCGGTGCAAGCTGTAACTTGAGTAAAAATTGACGTATCTTCATGAAACTTGGTACACGTGTTTCTTGGTACTGGGAGACGGTTGGTATTGCAAAAGGGCGTAATCGGACCGCTGCCACGCGCACAAGACGCCATTAAGTTTAATGTGCATATCACCTAAACCGCTAAAGCTGAAAAAACTTTAATTCACTGGGAGCAAAGTTTTAGCACCTCTATTAACGGTGTGAAAATGGGTGAAATCGGGTGACAAGCTCGCCCACTCCCCATATAACGGTACTGTTAAAAAATACTAAAAGCGTGATAAACCAAGCACTAAACACGCCAGAGACATTAAATTTTATCTCTGGGATGCTATGAGATGACTTTATAGGAACCGCGTTCAAAATTAGACAGTGGGTGTGGCACCGCCCACTTTTAGGTGAAAACCCATATCTTGGGATCTGCTTAACCGATTTCAACCAAATTCGGTGCATATGTTATAGTGCGAAAATGGGCGAAATCGGACTACAACCACGCCTATTTCCCATATAACACCATTTTCAATTCTGATTCTTTCACTTTCCATTATGCATATCAAGCAACAATGATTATATCGGGGTAAAACTTTGCGTGAACAATACGTTTAAAGTATGCCACCTTGTGACCAAAAATTGTCTAAATCGAACCAAAACTGTTCAAGCCCCTAAATACTAAATATGTAGACCGCAGGTCCTATAGTTGACCTTCTACCGAAAATATCAGTCAATCCACAAATAAATCTCAAACGAGTATACTATTTGACTTTGTTACTTGTTTATTATATTTTAATAATATTAGATATAAGAATTTGCTTTTCTCGCACTTATTATTGCTAATTAAGTAATTAAATAATTAAATTGCACAACAATATGTTAGTTAATTTTGACATGTACAAGGTATCGAAGACTCACAAAATCGTTGTTTAAGTCGAATAAAATTGACTCTATTCAGACCAACTTATAAGAAGATTCAGCCTGTTCATGAGGGATAATTCGTTTCATAATCGCATAATGGTCCAATGATCTTAGATATGCGTTCTTACTTAAGCGAATAACTTTTATCGTTAAGTTTCGGCATAGCATGCATATGTAAATCTATAATTTGTCAACTTTGAAGATACATCGAAACGACACGATTTTTCCTTTCAGTTTTCCGAAGATAATTCACATAATGACCGACATATTGGGCATAAAGTTCGCGGAAATAATGAAAATCATTATATGTAATATATAGGAACTGGGGCAATTCGTATACCGATTTCAAATATTTTTGGTATTCAACTATAGTATTTCCAGTATTATACATTTACTTATTTGTCCTAAGATATCTTACCTATTGGCAGACAGTACGACATATTGGTACCAAAAAAAGATGTTCAATGAGTTTTATTAGATATATTATAGAATTAGTATAAAGAGAACCGGAAATTTTAAAATCATTAAATTAGGTATATTGGAACTAGATTCACCCGATTTCATCCAATTTTTGCACAAGAGTACATTATTATAAGGAAAAGATGTTCTCATTCATATGTCTCAAAGGTTGATCGATATTTTCGGTATAAAGTCAGACATAGCCAAAGAAGTCCACATATTAGGTATCTAGGGGCATGAAACCGATTACGCCAAGTTTTTGCTGAGTGTTGGTATATCTTAAAAACACTATTTTTGCAAAATTCTGTTCCGATTAAGGGTGCTCGATTTATATTCTGTAGAGTGAATCAGCTGCGATTTAAAATTGTGTTATATGCGCAGTAGTCGGAGTTGTAGTCCGGTTTAACAATATAGAACAATAATGTCAGGAGAATGTTATGCACCAAATTTGGACGAAATTGGTCAAGTGATTTCTAAAATATTAAATTTCACCTCCCACTGTCTTATTTGTACATTGAGTCTTCCATGCCATCTCGGGCGTGAACAATAATCCTATAGTGTAGTGTATTTTTTTACTAAGTTGTCACATTTTTAGTATTCCATCATCCGATTTCATCCAATTTTCCAGCAACTTTAGTTCATCTAGCTTTAGTGGTTTATAAGATATGTAATATAAAACTATTAAGGGACGAGGTGCCGTCCAATTTATAAAAACTTTTGAACCACAAATGACTTTGATGTTACAAACACCTGTTAGGTGAACAAAATTATCAATTAACTATAAAAAAATTATTATTGATGATATCAATACATAAAGATCTGTTCGATCCAATAATTTTATTATTTCTTCATTTATGGAGTGCATTATTTAACCGATATATGTATGTATATACAAGTATGTGTATATTTATATGAATTTGTGTGTAAATAATACTGTTGAAAATTTTATTGAATCGTATGTGAAGGGTTAAAAAAGCTGTCAAGAGCTTTAGTCAAATCCAAACATATATAATTAGGAAGTAATTCCATCAATCTACTGCATACTTTTAGGATGACAAATTGACAATGGAAATTATTCTTATGAACTAAAGCAGAGAATGTATTCATCATATCATTAACATTTTCTGCTCTGACAACGCATTTAATCAAATAAATTAAGTGTCAAAAATTATTATATTAGATATATAGGGACTAAGGCAAAGTCTGGGGCGATATATTGGAAATAAGAGAAAAATGTACCGAACACGTATTTTTTTGACATTAAACTAAAGTATATTCGAGAAAATATGTTCTCCCAATTTGTTTACGATAACTCAAACATTAATCGGTATATTCGGCATAAAAACAGCTATAATAATTAAAATTAAGTGCATTTAATTAATGAAGATTGAGGAAATTCACCAATCTGCGGCACCAAACTGTACTTTATTCAAGATTATAGGTATAAATTCAAACGGAAGTTTAAAAATCTTTATATCAGTTATATCAGGGGTAAGGGCCGTATTTAACCGATTTTAGCAACAGACCAAAATATTGTCAAGAAAATATGGTCACTTAACTAAAATGTCTGGCAAATTGTTCAATGCTTTAGTTATAAATAGCTATGGGAAGGGACGGAGTTCCTCATATTTGCCAACTCAGGATATGAATAGTTACAGTGGATTTTCGATAATATTCAATCGAGATGCCCTATTTGCGTGGAATCTTATATTTCATTAATAATAACTTCTGACTTATTTTACGAAGAAGTTATCAAATTGGTTTATATTTTATTAGTATTAGTTATCATCAACTATCACTGTGAATCCACGTTATAAAATTTACAAGGGGTAAGCACATATGACACAGTTTAAACAAAGTACATTTTAATTAACCAAATCTCTGCAATTGATTTTACGATAAAATATTTTACCGCCACTGAAGAATGAAGT